GTGTGAGTAGCGACACAGATACCATTATCAGTGCCTCCCTAGTATTTAGTTTCTTTGATAGAATAATAAAATAAAATAAAAAACTCTTAGGTTGCCATAACCTACCATGTCCTGAAAACCCCAATTTTCTGGATGTCACAGATCTGGATCAAATATGCAGCCACAGAAGTCAGAAATTCCAGTCTGAGCACAGAAATGAAGGTAGGGGTTCAAGGAGAGCCAGGGAAATCTGCATTGGCAATGCCTTGTGTTTATTCCATGTACTGCAAAGAATTCAGTTGCACTCCAAGGTCCAACGTGTAAACATGGCGACACTAGTGGACAGCAATGTTTTGGAAACCATCGATGGTGCCTTCAACAGGCAAACATAGTGACCAAACTATATCACTATGTTTGCCTGATCAAGGGATCATTGACAGTTCCAGAAAGTTTGCCATCCACTAGTGTCGCCATGTTGTTTAGCATCCGAATAAAGGCGTTTACACGATGGACCTTGGAGTGCGGGTGTCTTCTTTGCAATACTTGGATTCACACGACGCCATCTGCTGGTCATACCGGCACCTTAGGAACGTTGGGATTCCGGTCTGGTGGCCAATGGGACTTAGACTGTCATTGTGTTTCTTCCATGAACCATTGCCTTTACCATCTCTAGCCAAGCCTTGACGATCAGTCAGCCTTCCCTATGCATTTGGCAAGGTGTACTTTTAATTCAGCAGAACTCGTGTGGGATGGAATGCGTTTAAAAGGATTGTGATGCACAATACAAAATAGCCATCGTTTATAATCTTCCAAAAACAAAATATAACTACTGGCTTTGAAGCATCAGTGGTGACCCTCACAATGACAGAGGAGCATCGGCAAGAAAGAGCAAAAGACATAAAAAGAAAAGCAAAGGGGCGTACTTGTGAGAGTATAAAACTACCAAAGTGGGGCAAGGAAGCAGTCATGTCAAATTCAGGCGGTACAGTAAGCTGGACGCAGCATGTTAACGACCAAAACGTCAACACTTACGGCGTTCTGGCCAAAGCCTACAGCAGCGGCAATGGCCTGCATTCTGCTAGCAATCATAGCATGCTGGGATGTGTAGTGTTTCAGCAGTTGGGTAAACCACGCCTTGTTCTAAACCCATCTACAATGTTTCCAACAACAACTAAGGCAAGTTTAGAAATACATGCCTAATTTCATATTATCGGCCAATCATAAACCCTACTAATTATATTTTATAGGAGCGTCGCTCCTGGTAAAAACACGGATATGCGGTCCCTTTAAAGGAAACCTGTGCTGAGAGAAATACAGAGGCTGCCATTGCTCCCTGGCACACATACAACAGAGAAGTGAACGTAGCCACTGAGACAGGAAAGTGTTACTGGCCAGATCACCAGGTAAAGGAAAAAAAAACAAAAACGAATGCAGCTTCCACATCTGAAGACTGGTATACATTATGTTTTTGGGTCTAGATATGCTCTAACTAGCATAACTCCAGCCCTTTGCCTTTCCATTAGGGGGCATCACAGGGACAGGAAGTGAGGAGAAACCTAACCCTTCCCCGCTCTATTCAAAACAGAATAAACTGGTTTGGCTGGAGTTGAGCTTTAAGATTTCTAAGTGCAAGCTCCATAGTCTTATCCTGGCTTTAGTACCTAGTGAATCAATGACCTGGGATAAGCCTGTAAGGAGGGATTTATGGCACATCCAAACCCAATCACTATACCCAAAATGAATATAGGTTTTAACATGTTAATGTCATCTGAAATGTATTTCTAATCATTTGAAATCTGAAGCTTTCATTTAACAAAAATAAATAACTAGCGATCCTACCATGAAGGTCCTTGTTCAGCCACTTCCTGTCTCCCAACCGCTCCCTGTCACACGAGCCCCTTATATAGTCTAGAAGGGGCTGTGAAGACATGCAGAATTGGAGAAATGTCACCAGCACACCAGTCCTTTTACGATAGCAAAAGCTCAATGCTAAAGCCTTATGAAGGGAGCCTGTGTGGTCCCGAAAGCGCTTGTTGGTCATATGACAAAGAACTTCAATAAATGAAGCTGTTGCTATCTTAAAGGGACTGGTGTGCTGGTGACATTTCTACTGATATTTGCGGCACCATCCGCAGTCACTACGAGCAACCCCCATTACAAGGGACATATCGGTAAGGAGTGCAACAAGGATAGTATTGTGATGACATGCATTCCCCAGGCACAGTCCCAGTGTTGCCAGCAAGCTAATCCAGAGCGATCATGTGCAGCCAACTCTGCATGTAGACAGGAAGTGGCTAAAGGAGGCTGGAAGAGATCAGCAAATGGATGAAAAAAGGCAAAAACAGTATTTTATAAAAAATAAATAATAGCACGGTGATACACGGTGCTTTAGCAAACTAAATATCGTTCCGTTAAGGCTTACATCTACTGTAAGACTTTTTGGAGGCTTCGAAAAGGCTGCACGCTTGTTACTGGTCAGTAACTCACACTAGGTAGTGCGGTCAGAATGAGAATGACAGCCTTGGTGTCCGCACCGTTAGAAATAAAAGGAAAGCATAGTGGGTTTAGATATATGTTCTTTATGATAGTGCGGCCTAAATTATAGACACAAAATGCATCCTTGTAACATATTAGTAACACTCCCCAGTTTATATGGGAATGCTCCATAAAAAAGGACAATATCATTTTGGCTTTTTTCAGCTTCCATCCAGCATTCTAGTGAGTACAGCTTTGGGGGAACATGACAAAGGGCTCCAGTGGAATCGTTACACATTTCCCAGGACAGTGAATGGTATTCGGCACTGAGGAATGCCAAAGGGTCCGGTGCAGACAAGTGCATCAGGCACACAGACTGGAGCTCAAAATGCATTTCAACGCCAAGTTACAAATGTATCTCCACATCCAACATGCATGCAAATGAATGCACCGTTCATTTTATCTTCATCTTATCCATGTTCTGTCCGTCTGAAACCATTGCAAATAAACTGGAATCGAACCTATGCTTTGCCCATGTAGGTTTGATTCAATCCTTCCTCTGCACCACCATTGATTCATCTCTACTTTCCTTCCCCTCCACACTGTTGAGCCACTGGGAGCAGAGAGATTACCCAGTACTTCTAGGTCGGGGTGAGCCTGCGACTCACTCCCCTTCATCTCATGTGGCAGCGCTAGTGCTTAGTAATTGGCCTGGCACTGTCACATGGGGCTGGGGAGACAGTCCTCAGCCTTACATAAGTTATGACTAGAGAGATTCGGATTTCACACAAGGCTTCTTTCCTGGCTCCCAATGGCTGAATAGATTGATAGTGGAGCGAAAGGAACCAGAGTGTGTCCTATTGGAGAGGGCAGCATTAAGGTAAACCTGTTGTTTTGCCTACAATGCAAAGCACGGGTTCACTTAAAAGACTAGCAAGGGATGCACAAATACCGCTTTTCGGTATAGAGTACGAGTACCAATATTTTTCTTTTTCCGGCACTCTCCGATACCGGTGCCCCGATTATTAGGAAGCCAGGCGGCGGATCATGACCCCTCCGCCCGGCTTCAAGATTGCCTGGGAAGCCAGTGTTCTATCGAAAGAACACTGGCCTCACTTGCCAATGCTGTCTGGCTTCCTGAGCAATCAGGAAGCCGGGCGGCGGATCATGAGATGCCGTCCGGCTTCCTGATTGACTAGTAAGCCAGCTTCACTTGTTGCTAGGTAGCCTGGCTTCCTGACATGAACCACCTCCCTGATTGGTTAGGAAGCCAGGCTGCCTAACAGTGAAGCTGGTTTCCTAGCCTATCAGGAAGCCGGGAGGCGGGTCATAACCCACAGCCCAGCTTCCTGATTGGAAAGGAAGCCGGCTCCATGCTCTCTTGGCACTGCCGGTCCAAGAGAGCTCTCCCTCAGACCGGAATTTCCGGTATCGGAGCATTTGGGAAAGTATGAGTACTCGCCCAAATATTCGGTATCGGCAGAGATACAGTTAATAGTATCGGTGCATCCCTAACAGGAAACATCCCGTAGAGTAGCTAGATGCCAATTTTGAAGAAAAACGGTCATGAGAGATATAATCTAGGCTCCCAAAAATGCTAACTGCCCGATCGCCTGGCTTTATTATTTTTTGTGTCACAGAACTGAAACAAGTATGCAGCAGGGGAAGTCAGAACTCCTGATCGGCATACTTCTGTCAGGACAGTGATCTAACGTACTGAAGGTAACGGATCAGCATGACAACTAGGCACCAGCATTGATAGACAAAGGTACATTGGCTGACTAAGCTAACACACCAGGACAAGGATCCTTATTTTCAAAAAAAGTGACAGTAATTGTTGGCTAAGTCCAACGATAATGGAAAATGACAGTTACGAGACAAAAATAAAGATCCTCAGCCTTGTGTGAATAGCTTTGTGAATTGAGCCTAAGGTATGAAAGATTTTCTTCAGATCGACCAATAACAAAGGTTTTCACTGACAGTAAATTAAAGTATTATCAGTTGAACATTATTAGGCACATCGGCTACCTGGGATGTGTCCAGCTTTGGTACAGTTGCCACAGCTTACTTCTACTACCGGCCTGTACCACTCCCAAGAGCCAGAGTCTATACCTTTGATGTCAATGAGAGTACATTTTCCCAAGCTCCCTGATGTCCGCTGGCCTGAGATGTCTGGTTTTCAGATTCTACACATAATTACTCTTCCCACTTTACGGTGCCTTCCATTCACTGCTCTGTGGTCAGATAATGTGAGGTTTCCAGATTCATAATTAGATTATTATTATTCCTGGGAGTGGCTAGTAGCCAAAGTCCATCTCCCACAAAACTGCGTCCAGCACTGAAGCCACTATTTGACACGTCGGCCATACACAACAGTAAACAAGACAATTTACGGTGTGGGGGATGCCTGAAACGCGTGGACAAAAAGCTTTAAAAGCAAATTAAGAACCATAAAAAAAAAAGAAAGAAGAGCTACGCTAGTGGAAATCAGAAAAGGCGCAAAATAAAGGAACACAATATTAAGAGAAATTAAAATGCATCCCAGAGTGTATAAACACATATTTAGCCCCCATATTGTCCAGGAGCAAAAACGAAAATAATAACAGTTGGGGGGTCGCAGGGCAGCAGAAAGCTCCCAGCCCTTTAACGTCAGAACTCCCAAGTCCTCCAGTAGAGAGAACTGGTGCAACAGTCGATAGCGTCTCTCTAAGTTAAGGTTAAGGTTTTGGCAGGGAAACGCCTGCAAGGAGGGCAAGTTCATTATGCTCCCTGCTCCTCACAGGATACGGGAGACAGAAGGCTCAGTCCGGCCACATGGCAAAGGAGAGAAGGGTGGCAACACACACGACGTGGGGGAGCTCACAAATCCTCCGCTCTCGCTCCCTCTCCCACCAGTGTCTCTCATGCGATGAGGAAAAGACGAGAGTGGCTCCAGGACATATTTTTTTTTTTTTTTTTAAACAATGTGTAACATTTTTTTAAGACTGCTTCAGGCGCTTGCGAGGAGGGCCCAGGAAAGGGCACTGGGCAGAGGCCAGCGAACGGTAAGCTTCTGCCACAAGGTGAGGATGGGAAACCACCATGGATTTCCAGCCAGATGTTTCCATGACATCAGAGGCGTGGCTGTAGGGAGAGAAAAGAAGGCAAATGTGAGAAGAAATATACACTGCTAGGTAAAATGTTACCAAATAAGTTGATGCCCACTCTAAAGTGCCCTACCTAAATTTGAAGCAGAACTGTGGCCAGGCTATGGACATTCAAATATTTATACATCCCTAATAAGCAGTAAATACGCTTTAGAACAAGGAGCTTTTAATCAAGCCATCACTAAACTCTGTACCTGCGGGTACTGTGGAGCAGTTCATCCTCAAAGTTCACAACAGAAGCACTTCCATAAAATCTCTGCAGCTTAGATTCTCAGTGATTTGGCAGCCTTCCAATCTCTTTTCAAATTATTGAACAGGAAGAGGGAGAACAGAATGCTGAAACCTGACTTTAAAAGAGAACTATGGGTGGGTAAGTTTTTTTTTTTTCCCCACCATAGTTCTCTTTAGGGTCACAGGACAGAACATATACTAACCTCCTCCTGTGACCCAAAGCTCAGTATATAGCGAGCTACAGCTCACGGTATACTCAACTCAATACTGTCAAGATCCACCCAGTGACAGCTGGCTCTGCCTATCTAAAGGCAGAGCCAGCTGTGCCCGCCCCCTCACCGCTCTCTGAGGGGAGGATCGGAAAGTGAGCAAGCGATGGTATGTGTTCGCTCACTTCCCAATCAATAGGGCCGACCTGTGACAGCTTCTTTGTCACAGGTCGACTCTATGAGGATGAGTGAAAATCACTCACATCATAGTTCTCCTTTAAGGACTCCCGTGTTTTTCTTGTGACCTTTGAGGATGCATTTCTCCGCAGTGTCTTGGGCTTGATTCAAAACTTGTTTTCTAAGCGTGAACTAAACCACATAACCCACCTCCTCATCTAAATGCTGCTCTCATTGCCTCACCATACTGAAGGCTGGGCAATGTACGAGTTGCAGTGCTGCACATACGCTCAGAGATGCCACGCATACACTGGACCCAGAGCACAAATACAGTGCTGCAAGCAGTGAACGCTGCATGGTGCTGGGAAAGGCAAAGCAGTAAAACTGATATTCAATCACAACTAAGACCATATTTACAGACCTTTCATCTAAGTTATATTAAAACAGGTAAGTAGCCAAATGAAACATGTGTCTACTTGCTTTATTAACCAAAGAATGTCATTTTGGCCAATCATTCTTGCGATACACACTGTAAAGATTACTCTTCTAATCCAGGGCTTGACAAATTTGCTTTTTTTTCATTTTTACTTATTGCTATCACATGGAGGGCTCACAAGCTCCCATTGGAGGTGACAGGTTCTCTTTAAGGTGGCATTAAACCCCCTAGTGTCCCCTTTCCACATTCAATAGCTTTAGAAGGGGAATTACATCTGTCTGCTGATGCAGCTGAATGTAAACACAGCAGGCAGTGGTTGGGAGCAATAGCCAGCCTGCTACTGGCCATTTCAAATTGCAGTAGCCAATAGCAGACTGGCTATTCCACCCAACCACTGCCTGCTGTCAATCGGAAGAGGAGGGAACTGAATGAGAAAGTTCTCCTTCAGGTCTTTCTCTGCTGATTGACAGCAGGCAGTGGAGGGGTGACTTAGGAACTTTGTACTGCTGAAGCATGAAATAAATGCATGTGCTTGGCAGTACAGTGTGATAGAGCTTGGTAAATCACAAGACTATGAGCACAATTACAAATTCTGACTGTTTACAGCCAACTCAAAAGGACTGCGAGAGGAAAAAGAACTGATGAGAGTTCTTCTACTTGCATAGATCCTGCCCGCTGCCATGGCTTTAGGGCAGGTTCCAGATCTGGTCCGGAAAATAGTGTGAACCTGCCGCAGTTCCAGTTCATTTCAGACCAGACAAAATGAGACGTGCAGTATTTTTCTAGTCTGGTCCGGAACCGACTGCACTGGTGTGAACAAAGGCCAGAAAAAGCACAGGGATACATTAGGATGCATTTTGGGTCTGGAAACAATCTGCTATGGAGATGATGTGGTGTAAATGGGCCCTTAAACAGGAGTAAGTTAAGAAGGATGGACATAGGGATTGGGTAGTAGGGCTGGGGCTTGACATTTGCAAAATGACTTTAGGTGCACTTAAGCAGGAATCACCCATTAGCATACCACAAAGTGCAACAATTTCAATTTATTAAGGTGCCCACACACCTTACAATTTATCTGCAGATATTCTGTGGTCAGATGGAAAAGGTGCAACAGATTCCTCCATCTACATTAAACTGTGTGGATGGAGTAATCTCCACCTGGGCCAATCTGTTGCACGTTTTCCATCTGACCACAGAAAATCTGCAGATAAATTGTAAGGTGTGTGGGCACCTTTACAATCAAACAAGGAAAGAGATTAAATGTGATTGGCTGCACAGCTATATTAAAACAGGCTTGATTCTTCTGAATATTAACCCATACCGACAACATTACTTCCATTTAGCTGATGTCACCCACACACATATTTAAAAGGGAAAAAAAAGACTGGTATATTCCCTTCAAGGGACACTCACTAGTTGATGAAGTCCACGGCTTGTGTTTTAAGCTGGTCTGCGCTGTGTAAATCAGCCAAAATAAGGATCTCAGCGGCGTTGTCCACAGACAGATTGCTGCACAGAGCTTCTTCACACATCACCTTCAGACGTTCCAAGGCGTACTGTGGAGAGAAGCAGAAGGTCTGGCTGAGAAAAGATCCATTTCATGATGGGTGCTGTTCTATCAAGGTTAATGTATTCAAACTTATTTACATAGAATATTTGGTTATAATTAGTGAAAGATCCGAGCAACAAGTAATATTCTATAACCGGTGCAGGACATGGTACCGTGCACTTGATCTTCTCAAAAGGGGGCAATTAAAGAAAAGGAGGTTGTTCTAACTAGCAACCTGCCTTTTAGAGATAGGACCCTACCAATTCTGCTTCTCTACTTAGCAGTGAGGAAAGTTTACATTGGTCAATACAGATTCTGAATGGTAAACCTTCTAGAAGAGCCACGCTTAACTTGAGGTCCAAGGGCACGGCTTGCGCAAACTAGCACTACACAGTGTAGATAAGAACATGACTGACGCAGAGATTGCCTTGGACTTACTATACCCAAGACTTGGCACTCAAAATATTAAATAATGCATAAGAGGATCTCATTCTTTAACTTTAGTATGTAAAGAGTATTTTAGTTGCTCTCTCTGTCCCTAACGAAAGGGAATTCCCATCACTTCCTGTCTCGGTGATCCCCTGGGAGGCAGGCCAGGATTAAGAAATCTCCCTACTGAGGGGACAGACACTAACCTTACCCCCTCCTATCCAATAAAACACACATATATGCTTTATTGGATAGAGGGGGTAAGATAGATAGATAGATAGAGAGATCTATAGATATATATCCTTAACTGGAATTGGGCATTAAAGCAGGGGTGGATGAATTCTTATGGAGTCTGTGCTATCCAGGAGCCAGCTTCACTGACAACTAGAGAAAACCTCAAAAGTTAGGCACCACCTGTCATTTTTAAAGAGCATTGGCGACCTGGCTCCTGGGATTGGTCCAGCCCTGCAATAAAGTGACCCTATCAGCATAGTCACTTGTATGTATAAAACATGCGTGCTGAAAGACGACTGCACATACATAGGTTTCCAGTGGCCTGTTTCTTGAAGACCTACTACACTGCTCACCATCCTATGCAAGAATTCGACCAAGTTGGATGGGTTGAATACCTGCTCATCCCCCCAGACACTCACTGTGGTTCTTCCTGTCAGCTCGTATGCCCTTGATGTACAAACCATGGGGACAAAGGCAGGGGGAGCAGCTATTCACAAACCTGGAACTGTGTAAGTGCGCACAGTGGCTGGGAAAGCAGTAAACCAGCTGCATTTTAAGAATCAGGCCCTTGGAAAGGTAAGTATATGCAGTCTTCCTTTAGCAGATATGTTGTACATACAAGAGACCCTTGGTTGGGTCACTTCAATTAATACATTCAGCTGTGCCAGCAGCTGAATGTAAAAAACAGGCACTCGCCTGATATCAGCCGACCCCTGCCCCATTCATCTGTCGGCGGTCAGGATTCCGCAGCTGGATGTGCAATAGCCAGCCTGCTATTGGCTACTGCACTTTGAAATAGTCAATAGCAGGCAGCTATTGCCTACCCTGCTATCTGCTGGGAATTTTTTTTTCGTATTCTGACAGCAGTTGCAGAATACACAAACTGAGCCGGCAAAGCAGGGGAGTGTATATATCAGAACGCAGGCAGCTACGATAGATATGCAAGGTGGCTGAACGAGCAAAGACAGAGGATGGCTCCTTATTCCATTGTAACACATTTTTGAGCAGGGTTACCCTTGTCCTTTTATTTTTATAGCATTAGTGTGCTTTAAGGGGATGGATTCACAATAAACTTTGCACACTCTCAGCTGATCCGCGCAAGAAAAATGTTTGTCTAGTTCAATTTAATCACTGTCTCTTCGAATATATCTCTACTTTATAGCGGGCACGCCACATCCCTGTGGCTTTCTTAAGACGGCTGAAAGTCTTTTCCTCAAAGAGCTGTAATTACTACAACTTTGTTGCATTATTGACATGGCAGCTAAACCTGTCTCTAGTTGAATTACATTGCTTTTTACGATCCCTCCTTGTATTTATAACATTGTAGCGTCTTACCAGTGCATCAAAGGACTAACGGCTCGCTCTTTATTGCTCTATGCCGTAAGATCAATCAACTACTTACTAGGAGAGATATAGACGCCAATAATATGCGGCAGGTAGACCACTTAACTACGGTATGTTATTGCCACTTATTTACTAGATCAAGGATCTTTAACGTGCACCGGAAATTATATAAAACACAAAATGCTGTAGAGGAGGGAGGATAGGGAAGGTGGACACTGGCTTCTCTAAAGGTGAAGGTTTTAAAGTATTGAAGAAGTCACCACAAGCCATTCTCAATGGGGCCAAACATATGCCTGTCACAACTGAAACTCTAGGAGCGTGATGCACAAACTGCGACTTGGGGGCTACACGCGGCCCTTTGATACCTATTGTGCATCCCTCTAACCCTGGAAGGCAGTGCCGGAAGCCGGAGCATTGTTTTGAAAGGGGAATGTGATTGCATTGATCTCTACCGCACCATGTCTACGCTCTGTAACTGGTAGCATATCAGTCTCTTAACCAGTTGACATCCGCGGTGTTAATAAAGGGTTAGTTTACCTTTCTGACCATGTTTCATATTACACCCATATTTAGGGTACACCACGAAGCATGGCCAGAACGCAAACACCCCCCACTTACTTACTCTTTTCTCTGCAGGCTTGTGTACTCTACGGAATTCGGTCTGGATGTGCATGGCTCCGCCCACACAGCCGTGTCATCCATTCAAAGATCCTTTGGCAGGAACGGTTAATGGAGAAGCTACAATCCCATTAACCATCGCACCAGAAGGATGCAGAAAAATTCCTTCATTGCTGGGACACAGGTAGCCATTGTTGGCTATTTTCCTTCTGTTGCTAGGACACAGGCAACTATTGTTGCCCATCATTCATCGTTGCCAAGACACAGGTGGCTATTGTCACCTAGCATCCTTTATTGCTTGGACACAGGCGGCTATTGTCACCTAGCATTCTTTGTTGCTAGGACACAGGCGGCTATTGTCACCTAGCATCCTTTGTTGCTAGGACACAGGCAGCTATTGTCACCTAGCATCCTTTGTTGCTAGGACACAGGCGGCTATTGTCTCCTAATCAAAGATGTTTCATTACTAGAAGGCAGGCGGCTATTGCCACTTATCGCCCTTTGCTGCTAGGACACAAAGGGCTATTGCCACCTGGTGTCCTTCATTGCTAGGACACAGGCAGCTATTGTCTGTCTCCTAGCAACCAATAGGCTGCATTAACGCTGTAGGCATGTAAACATTACACAAACATCACGTGTACCATGTTTGGACTAACTAAAACGCAGGATCTTGTTGCCAGCAAGGTCCCATTGCAAATTCAGTACGTCCATGAGCGCTATCTGGGTTTTCAAAGCAATGATCCTTTTAAGAGCGAATGATGAGTGCCTCAAAATATTTGGCAGTCATGTATCAATTAAATGGCTTACACATTGCAATTACCAGGCAGCTTGAGAAATGTCAACATACTTTGGGGTGGGAGGGGGAAAAAAAACTGATAAACCTCATTTAAGCTTTGCATTCTTTACTTTGATCATACTGACTCAATATATGGGAAGGAAGCAGAAAGTTGAAGCAGCAAATCAAGCAATTAAACAGCGACAGATATCACTGACTGTACCCCCGAGGTTTCAGCCTAACAAACCAGCTGGGCCGTCAAACCCAAATGGTGAGATTTTTACAGGCAAAATAATGAGGTTAAGACGACATCTTTGGGGTTTTTTTTTTTTTAGAAAACCTATGTGGGGTAGACTTCAAATGTAATGAGTAGATAATAAAGAAAAGTTCTGCAGGCCAAATCAATGGAATATTGCTTTACCTCCAGAGAGGAACGTCCACCACTTTGAGCATAGGGTCCATATCAGGGACTATTTTTAAAGCAGTAGTACATTGTTCTGAAGTAAAGGGCTGTGGAAAGTGTGCTTTACTCCCTAGCTGCTCTCATTCTTGGCTTGTCATTGTCTGACAGTGGGAGCTATGAAAAATTGGATTTGTGCTGCCTAATTCGAATATCATAAGAGAACATAAGGCAAGGAAACCCTGATGGGTAAGCGGACAGGTGTCAGTCTCTGATTGGAGCTCCCCTTTCCCGCACACAATAAGACTTATATACAGAAAGGCCAAACCATAAATACTATCCGCAGCATTAAAGGGCAATTCCATTTTCCCCGGGGAACTACCCCCTCCAATCAGGACTGCGCTGCCATGTACAGAGTACGGGTAATACACCGGCACTGACCGAGGGGAAGGAGCATTCGGCCAAAGGCAAATATAAGGGGTGGGTTTGTGGTGGGGCTATAATACACAGAGGGGGGGAATTTATCAAAACTGGAGCAAAGAAGAATCTGGAGCAGTTGCTTGTGGCAGCCAAGCAGCTTCTCTCTTCAGTTTGTTCACTTAAGATTTGAAAAAGAAAGAAAGAGAGAAGCTGTCTTTTAGTTACATCTTTAGGCACACACAAACAGGTTCTTATAAACATTACAATACACTCTTCCAGGGATGCACAGATACCAAGTACCGTAGTTAGTAGAAGTACAGATACTTTTCCAGCTACTAGACTAGAGGAAAACTCAAACGTTAAGAGGCAGTTGTCATTTTTAAGGAGCATTGGCTACGTTTTCCAGACCAAGTACTCACAGATACAATTACTGATACATTTTTGTTTAGTGTCATGTGATAGTTTTTCTAAAACAATACAGACTAATGATTTCAGGACAGTGGTGGAGCGTCAGGGCCCAGTCGCAGCTGCAACCATTGCGACCCTGGTAGTTCTCGGGAAATGTCAAGTATTGGCACTGGTATCTGAACATCCCTACACTGTTCTAATTGAAATCACTTGAAGATATGATTATAAAAACATCCTGAGTCTCTCCTGATGAAGCAGACCTGTCTGGTGAAACGTGTTGAATCCTCTTCATCTCACTGAAAGTCCCAGCTCTTGTTGTAAAACAGTATCTAATTGTATTTTTTAGGGATGCACTGAAACACTTCTGCCGAAAATGGTTCTATGGACAAAATGCCAATAGTACAAACTAGGCTGAAAATTAGGTGCACCCCCAGCTTCTCTCTTCCCCGCTGGGAGCCGGCTGCAAGCTTTGGTCTCCGATACCCGATGCTCTCTCCCGCCTGTGTTGGCAAAGGCAGGGGGGATCGGAGGGGACACAGAGCCAATCCAGCTGCTGGCTTCCAGTGGGGAGAAGAAAGCTGCCAGGAGGGCCAGCCCGGTGGAAGGGGGCGGAGCTTCAGGGTTGGTATATATGTTATCAGTATGTGATCAGTACTGATCACTCTGTTTGTAAATAACTGAAGACATAGTGATTACTTTATCCCCAGTTATGAACGAACAGGAAGTGCTATACATCACTTCCTGTTCATTTATGAATGGGGACATAGTATATATATACTATCTGCTCACTTTATGAATGAGCAGGAAGCAGCTCAGTACAGAGGCTTCCTGTCCATTCATGATTGGGTTGATAATCAATATTTACTATCTCCGGACTGTGAATAACAGGATGCCTGTGTACATTGAGTGCTGGGGCTGCAGAGATGTTCCCAATGCCCCTAAAAGTAAAGTAAAAAAAATAAAAATGAAAACATAATTGAACATTTTTTTAAAAGGTTGGGAAAATAGTTTTGAGGTTTCGGTTTTGGTCTAAAAATGTTATTTGGGTGCATCCCTAGTATTTATGTTACGTATAAGAAATATCATAATGAGTTTGATGTGAACTAAGAATGTATAGTTGGTCCAGTGTTAGAATGATGGTAACCCTCAGAAAGCTCAATGTAGGATGTAGATATATATCATAGAAAGATGAAAGGAAGTTTTAAATATGTTTTAAGGGTGTACAATAAAATCTATTGAACTTTTAAACATGTTTGTGTGGCACCATTAATGTCCAGCATGCCGTTATACCTTTGAAATGCTATAGAATTTTGGATTTGGTACTAAAACCCCACCGGTTAAAATGTATTATATACGTTCATATAAACCCAAACCAATGAACCGAAATACACATGATGACAATCAAAATAAGCCAACAATGACAAAACATCTCCAATAACAACCACCACTAGCCCTCTCCTCTTCACTTTCATACACAGAACTGCGACAACACATCTGTAAACCACCATTACACAAACATCTCCTGTTTTCCCATTACTGGTCATTAACAAGAATACCTTATCGGCTGCAGCCAGCAGATCGTCGGCCATCTTGTCTAGGTTGGATGCTTTTCCGGTGTATATGAAACACATCATTTCCTTGAAAACATCGGGTTCCACATCCTTTATCTCCACACGATTCTAGGATTGAAAAACACGATACACATCTAAAACTCATTCCCAGTATAACAGGTGACAGTCAGACGTACCAAAGCACGATATAAGCAGGTAGCTTGCTGTGAGTAATAACAAACTTTAGGCATCGAGTTGAAAGATTTCCGAACTGCGGAAAGGGGTTAAAAAAAAAAAAAAAACTTAAACACTGAGTTGGCCTGTTTCTAATTTAGGATAATAAGATGCCAGCAGCTCTACAACTAACTAGTAGGGATGCACCAATACCGAGTATTTGGTCGAGTACTCGCCCAAATACTCCTGATGCCTATCCCAATAACGGAACTTCAGGTATCAGAAAGCCGGGCAGCGAGTCATTACACACTGCCTGGCTTCCTGATTGGCTGGAAAGCCGGCTCCATGCTCTCTCGTCACTTGGTGAGGGGGTAGCATGGAGCCGGCTTCCCGGCCAATCAGGAAGCCAGGCGGCGAGTCATTACCCACTCCTCGGCATCCTGATTGCCCGGAAACTTGGCTCCATGCTTCCTCGTCAGCTGGTGACGAGGGCGAAATGGAGACGGCTTCCCGGCTAATCGAGAAGCAGGATGGCGAGTCAGTACTCGCTGCCTTGCTTCCCGATTGGCCAGAAACCTGGCTCCATGCTTCCTCGTCACCTGGTGACAAGGGAGACGGCTTCCGGGCTAATCAAGAAGTATGGCGGCGGGGCATTACAGGCCGCCCGGCTTCCTGATTGGCCAGAAAGCCAGCTCCATGCTTCCTTGTCACCTGGTGACGAGGGAGCATGAAGACTGCTTCCTGGCTAATCGGGAAGCCTGGCGGCGAGTCATTACACGCAGGCCGGCTTCCTTAAAGGGACTTCCGGTATCGGCAAGTACCGAAAAAAATATTGGTACCCGTACTAGATAACAAAAAAACAATATCGTGCATCCCTACTAACTAGGTAGACCCCCGCACTGATCCATATTTGTTATCAGACTGGCAAGACTACTATGCAACGGTCCCAGCTGCAATAAAAGGAAAATCCCTTCAAAAAGTGGAGCGACAAGATGATTTCATTCCATTCCAGGGCTGACACAGGTGTCACAGACAGCTGGCCAGCTCATGAGGAAAGTAGAAATGAGGAAAATAGGTAATAACGGGTAGCCAACCTCAGCACTCCAGCAGTTAAAGAACTACAAGTTTCATGAGGTATTGCAAGACTCTGACAGATACAAGCATGACTCCCAGAGGCAGATGCATGATGGGATTTGCAGTGTCACGACAGCTGCCTACCCCTGCGTTATAATCGGGTATCTTCTCTCCCCCACTCTCTGCTCTGGGTCATTGGTGGGTTTCTACTGTTTTGTTGAGAAAGGAGAATCCCTTTAAAAAGTCTATTTGGGGTGGACACTTGTGAGCCCAATAACCTGCCCCATTTCAGAAACTATTGTGACACTACAGTCGGGTTCCCCAATCAAGTCCCTGCACCCTTCCCAACTTGGTTCTGAGATAACAGCACCTAGAAATGTCTTAGTTTCCCCCCGCAAGAAAATTGACATAAACAAAAAAAAAAATGGCAAAGCCCAAATGAAGCCTCCCTGTTTATGCAAATAGTAGTGTTGATTGGAGCAGTGTGCAGGGGGGAGTGTTGGAGACCTGGGCCACTGCTTGTGTGTGAGAGCAGCAGACTGACACTCCTGTGTGCAGCTACCATGAAGTATTTTTACCACTAAAGGTGACCATACACTGCACGATTCTCGTACGAGAATCGTGGGAAATCCCGCGATCGTACGAGAATTGTGCAGTGTATGGAAGGCGTGCGACCGTTTCTACTGTACGGTCGCACGTCTTCCGTCGAACCAGCATGCTAGAAAACCCACCGGGAATCATACGATTCTCGGCGAGTTAGTGACCTGCTGGTTCGACAACTGCCGAACGGGCCGGTGTGCGCATGCGCACACTGCCTGTTTGCAGTCATCACAAGCCCGCCCCTCAGGGGGGCGGGCTTGCGATGATCGAAAGTGCGATCTGCCTGTCCAAGATGGGCAGATCGTACATTTTTTTAAGTACTTTACATGCCTCGCAAGACAAAAGTCTTGCGAGGGTTGTAAAGTGTATGGGCACCTTTACTATGAACAAATACACAGAAAGAAGAGCATATTCATTATTGTATAAGCAGCCTGACTGCATTACAATAGTAAATAACTGGGCAGCAAAATGAAAAGAACTATACTGTACCTTTTTACTCTCTTCCATTTCATGCTCAAACATTGCGCTGAACACTGGAGACCGAGCTAGAAGAAGGAAGGAGAAAAAAAAAAAAAAAAAGCACACAGTGATCTCATTCTCATCATCATCCATTACACATTGAATTCACTGACTAAGCTAATTAACATAGGTGCAGTTCTACTTGGCCAACCGTGGCTATGTATATCTAAATTAAGAAAACAGAAGGCTGATTGCTTTGCTCTGAGCCAAATAGATGATTCTTATTAGGTGTCCGTGTGAAGCCAGACTGAGCGTTTTCATTGGCTGTCATCCAAGGCTGCTAAATTACTGGTTCGTTTGTTTGAATTCGCAGCCATCATCAGATAACTGGCTGCGCTCCCCTTTATACACACCCACCATACCAGCGCAGGTTTACACTCTGGGGGCATTTAACGTAGACCTCCACTGAAAGATTCATATAAAGCAATGTTAGCTTCTTCTTCAGATCAATAAATATAAAATAACAGAAGTGCAGTATTGCTGTGAACGCTTCTCCCTCCAGTGCTGGTCACATGACCAAAAGCCTAGGCCTTTAGTCACATGGTCTCTGCCTTACGGAGCAGACAGTGGAGTAACATTCCACGGCAAGAGGAGATCTTCCTAAAGGTGCCCATACACCTTGCAATGCAAACATTTTCGTCCGATGATCGAACTGTCGTACGATTTTCGGTCTTTAGCAGAAAGCACCTGGACGAATTTCGTTGATTGACCGCACAGATTTTCGTTTGCGCATTAGCGGTGTTAATCGTACGATTTTTGACGTAGGGAAACGCCACCAACCTTGCAAAAATCATACAATTCGACCAAAGTTTTCCAACCTGCTGGAAAGACAAAAGCTGACGATTGTACAGTATTTGCGTTTATACACTCCCCATCAACCTTAACAGGTTAACTTTAATTGGGATCTCCAGACCTCTCCTGGGCCTCACACCTCCTTACTTGCTACAGATTTTGATGTGGCCAATAGAGAAGCAAGAAGAAGAGAGCGGGAAGGTGCGTCTACATGTAATGCACCGGCTAAATAAACGAAGGGGCTTATTTACAGCGGAGTATGGATACAGCTATCCACTGCACACACAAGTACTTTCTCTACGCTTGCGTTCCATTCATAAAATGCATGCCATACTGTGTGGCCTCCAGTGCCCTCTCTGCTTAACACTGAAGAAAAAAAAAAAACAATGCACTCCCTATGCAGCAATCATCATATGTCAATAGTTGCCGAGAGTAATTGCACTGAGGGCCCTGTCACACCATCAGTAGTACGTTCCAGTGCATTGGTCCTCTGGAACACAACCTGGCCGGCTCAGTTTTTTGGGGGGAGGGAGCGTGGTGGTGCATTGAACTCAATGGCACCGCAGCCACGCACCCGAACGCGTGGCACATTAGTGCTTACGTTCCGGTCCAGTGCGATCTGCCAAAAATGGTGCAAACACTATTTTTTGCAGATCGCACTGGACCGGAGCGCAGGCACTAATGTGCCACGTGTTCGGTTGCCGGCGATCACACCGCAGGCAGCGGGTGTGGCTGCGGTGCCATTGAGTTCAATGCAGCACCACACCCCCAGGCCGAATGCACTGGAACGCAATCTTGATGGTGTGACAGGGCCCTGAGACAAGTGCGTGCCTCCAACCATGTATGTGTACAAAGCCAGCTCCATAAAGACCTGGTTGGATGAGTTTGGTGTGGAAGAACAGAAGTGGTCTGTACAGAGCCCTGACCTCAACCCTACGGAGCACCTTTGGAATGAATTGAAATGCTAATTGCGTGCCAGGCCTTCTCATCCAACATCAATACCGGACCTCACAAATGCTCTTTTGGCTGAATGGGTACAAATTCTCACAGCCACACTGCAAAATCTTATGGTAATCCATAAACGTGGAGGCTGTGATGGCTGCAAAGTGGGGACAACGCCATAATAAAGGTTTTGGAATGGGATGTCCTTCAAGCTCATATAACGTAGGTGCGATCATCACATGTTCACAAGCTTTGCCCAGGGCTGGCCAAATCCCAGAAGCTAGGTTGCCAATGCTCCCAAAAATTGGCGCCCAACTTTTGAGGTTCTCTCTAGCTGTTGTCAATGGTGGTGGCTTCTGACAGAAATCCCGCTGGCTCCAGGATTGGACTTCCATATTAATCTGGCCGCCCCTGCTGTAAGTGAACTGAATGGTGCGTCTTCTATATAACCGAGTTGAGTAGATTATATTTTGAGTCCTTCTTTAACGAGAATATTTCCTCTAAAATTTCCACGGCTTACTGGATTTAATAATAGTTATTGAATATTTAATGCAATATAATGTACAGATCGCGTTAGCCACATTCCTGTCACTCACAGTGTTATGACATCACACATGAGAAACTGGTAATTCATTTGTCAGAGCTGTGAAATCCTGAACGGGAACTTGGAATTTCCCCAGAGCAAAAATAAGACCTAGCTACATTTACTGTAAGTCTTGTCTTCGTCATAAACAAGGGTGCAGTCTCTTTCTGACAGCTCCTCGCAGCCATATACTGTGGAGGGAATTCATTAACAAAAGTCAGAGACAAGTTCTACCTGAATTGGTGCCGTTGCCCATTGCAACCAATCAGATTCTAGCTTTCATGAAATGTAAAAGCTGATTGGATGAGCTCTAGTTGAGGCAAAGTTTGTCTCTGACACTTTTTCTGAATTCCTCTCTCTGTGTGGGGATGCACATACAGTTGTCATGTTTCTGGTCAGCTGACCCCAACTCTCTCAGCTCGGCCTCCCTGAACTTCCTGTCCAGTACACGATCATAAAGGACACAGCAGTCTCCAGCAGCTGTCCATTTTCTAGCTTGGAGAAAGGATAAGGAAGCAGGTCACTGCCTTGCTTTGCAGCGTCTGTGTATTTGTGGAGAGAGAAGTATGGGCACCAAATGCAAATCAAATGCGTCTGTTTATTGACGTCAATGCAACGTTTCGGGGTCAAGCAGAATCCCAAGTCCTGCCTGAGGAAGGGGATCCTACGTGCCCCCCGAAACGTTGCACTGAATGTGATTAGCTGCATCGACGTCAATAAACAGACGCATTTGATTTGCATTTGGAGTGCCGGTGTCCATACTACTCTGTGTGTAGCCATCCGTCGACCTCCGTCGCACCCACCCAATCTACAAGGAAAAAGCGGTCAGGAGTGCAATGGGTTCATGGATTGTTATTTGTGGAGACACAAACAGCTTACTAGCACACACAAGGGTGGCTCCATGGGACCCTGCAAAGAAGAAGAGCCACCCTAAAACCGGGCACCAGGAGCAGTGCCGTTGGGACCAGCTGATTCTGCAGGAACTAAAACTTTATACATTAAGGAACAAGAGCCATTGTAAGTGATTTCATCAGCTTGAAAACCTTTTGACTTTAATATCCCTTTAATACCAAAGCCTGCTGCATACATTGCATCCTGAGCTATCTGCAAACACAGAACTGCATGACTCATTCCAGTCACTCGCCTTTATCAGATGGCTTTGTTCATTTAAATCATGAGGAGATCAGTAAAGGGAAGTTAACCTATGTCAGCCCTGAGCTGGTTTCAACTCTTTGATTGCTGTGGCATATAATATACCACATTGGCAGTCAAAGTGTTAAAGGCCTAAACACTTGGTCACATGTCTTTGCAGAAGGGGAGGTATAACCAATCTGTACTTGGGATTTTCAGAGATGACATGAACAACCGCCTAGGCCTTCAGACATTTGGCTGGCACCGTAAGGGGCCTGAAGTAAAATTTTCTTGATGAAAGCAAGGCTTTCATCGAGAAAGCAACTATTCTCATTATGGATTAGTTGGTTGGATCCCCTAGCTCTCTCCTCCCCACTGGGAAGAGGGCACAGAAGGCAGTGGGCGGATGCAATAGCCAGCCTGCTACTGGCTTTTGCAGTTTGAAACGGCCAATAGCAGGCTGGCTATTGCACCCGCCCACTACCTGCTGTATTTACATTCAGCTGCCTTCTGCGGAATTTTGCCACTGGCAGCTGTCATTCCCTGGCTGAAGCTATTCAAGCGCCATGTGCTTACAATACAATCATTTTAAAAAAAGAAAGAAGAGGTGGGAAAAAAAAAAAAAAGTCATGACAAATTCTGCTGTGAGAGGTGTGTTGCAGTGCCATTCATTTTAATGGCACCCCAAACTTGTCCTCCCACCCACAGTGTGATCCCCGCACTGGAAAGCACTGTACCGCAATGCTGTGCGTTCCAGTGCAGTGCAACTGCAAAAAATTGTGCATGTAGTTTAATCCTGAAGTGAACTTTGTTTGTAACACTCCATTTGTGTATTTTATTTTAAATAAAGGATGGTATTTAATTTTTTTATCCGATTAATCGAAAAAATAAAAAAAATCGCCCAACTAATCGATTATGAAAGTAATCATAAGCTGCAGCAATAGATGAAAATTTGTTTTCAGCCCATCAATTATTTATGTATCCATCCCAGCATGGCTGTTAACATAGCTTGATGTCATAAGTATAGTTCCTCTTAAACAAGCATTTAGGAGTCTTCAGAAGGCATGTAGAAAGCTCCAGGGGACTAATGAGCCTGCCGAATGCTAAATGCCTGCTGAACATGATGCTCCTCCAACCAGCCGAAAGCATTCCTGTATTACTTAAAGCAGAACTCCAGTCTTTCTAATACAGATTCAACGGACTATATGAAAGTTCTGGGCACCACCGAGGACGCAGATGTGTGACTGATTTCAGCAAGAAGTGTGACCATTGTGCCTAGGGAGGGGAAGGGGCGCAATAGGTGAGGCCAGGGTCTTGCGTTAAAAGAATAACTTAAGTTAATTTTGTTTTTTTTTTGCTGTTTTTCAGGTTTGTATAGCATGAGATGGGTCATTTCATTTGCTAGCTTTAGACTGCTCTTTGTGGCCATATTGTGGAGATGTAACTTTTCTGCTGACAATAATGTTTGTCTACAAAGGGGAGCAAAGACCGGAAAAAAAAAACCAAAAAACAGAAGTTGACGGAGGTTAGATTCCCCCTAATTTCCTGTTGTATAAATAAGCTGCAATTGGGACAGGA